TCATTCAATAGGGAGGCAAGTGTGGAGAAATTAGGAACAAACCTTCTATAGAAGCTTGTCAAACCATGGAAGCTCCTAATATCTCCAACACTTTTAGGAGTAGGCCATTCTTGGATGGCCTTGATGTGCAATCTTCGTGTATCTCTCCAACGTTGCCTAAATGCCATATAGGTCAATAATGAAAAGAAAGGAAAGGATATATTTTTTTTCGCAAAGGCTTTTCAAAAAGCTATTTTCAAAATAGTTTTTAGAAGAATGGATGGCCTAGGTTAGCCGATGTTTAGGCTAATGAACGAGCATGTTCAAATTAGGAAAATTATTTTCCACATTTTAGCTTATCTTATTTTTTCAAGAGTCAAACCATGACTTGGGTTTTTTCTTTTTAGCTGGTGATCTTCCTGGACCACCTTTCGGTTATTAGTTCAGGATGCTACTTCGTGTCCTAACTTTTTCCTAGGACACCCCTTTTGTGGGTATCCTAGCAGACTTTTCCTTTGACCCTAAATTTTTCCTAGGTCACCTTCTTTGCAGGATTCCTAGCAGGTCATGCCCTAACTTTTGCGTAGCCCCCTTTTTTGGGCTTCCTACCGGGCTTTTGCCTTTTTTGCTTTAGACATTTTGTCTTGTTATGGCTTTTTCAGTAGCATTTATGAGATGATCATTTTTATTTTTTTTAGCTTTTAGAAAGGGAATTGTCCCTTATTATTTTTATTGGATTTTTATCCACAAGTCATGCTTAGGCTATTGCTTAGTGATGTGCGTTGTATTAATGTTAACGCGTTTTTAAGCTTAACGCTTCTAATGACGTTCCTAAGTTAAATGTGCTCATTCATTCTAAGTTTATTAATGTGGTTTAGAATAGACATGAGAGAGAAAAGAAGAAAAATATATATATGTATGGCATTTAGGACAATGTTCTTGATTTACACGTACCCTTTTGATGTATCTCAAGGGCCCGAGCATGCCCCGAGTTCATGATTCGTAAGGATTTTGCAATAGTTGCTGAAGAATGCTCAAATCATAATCAAATATGGATCAAAGTATTGTTCTATCATGTTGTGTTTTGAAATATTTATGTGTTCTATCCTTAACAATGCAACACCTTACTCATAATTTTCAAATTAATTATTTAATATTTATTTCATAAATCAACCAAATTAATTATCTTAGTTATAGGATTCACTTTTCTAAAATTAAAAATCTAGTTAATATGTAACAAGTTATTCGTCGAGTAATATTTATATACCTATTACAAAATTTGAAATTGTTATACAAATTTCATTATAAAATTCTTATCATTTGTAATTTAAATTTTGAAACACTACCAGGTAAAGAAACCACACCATAGTTAAATATATTCATAAAAAAAGTGATTTTTGATACATCAAAACTATATATAATTGATATGATATCTAAATGAAGGAAAAAGTATTATTTTAAAACAAATTTTCCTTCTTACTTATACTAACACATTCACATCCAAGGTTAATATAGATTTACTATAGGATTGACATGGTTAGTAGGGGGTACGTAGTATGTGATCACCATGGGACCATCAATATATATATCGAAGCTTGTTAATTTGGTGAAAATATGAACGAAGATAACCCCAATGCCTTAGAATATCACTGAATTTCCAATAGCATTAATAGTCCAATTGGTACTAGGAAATACAACCAATGTAACTATAGTGAAAGGTTCAGGTATAACTAGTAGATTCATCTCTTTAAAATTTTAAAAGATACGTACGTATATTAAGAATAAGAAAACAAGAAACAAAAAAGAAAGGAGTGAGAATATTTATCAAATAATAATAAAATTAATTAATTTAGAATATATATATATATATATATATATATATATGTGTGTGTGTGTGTGTGTGTGTGTGTGTGTGTGTGTGTGTGTGTGTGTGTGTGTGTGTGT